AATGGGGCAAAATATAGATACTTTTTTTTAGCAAATATGCATCGTTTTAGCAAAATGAGCTACACTATTTGACTAACGTGAAACAGAACGAGCCTCTCCACTTGGGTCTTTTTTCATCTCTCGCAGACACTATTTCCTGCTTTTTGTGGTTTGTATCGGACTTTTGTATTCTGTCCGGCCAAAGCATCTGTGTTACACTAAGACTGGGTTCTTTAGGATATCTACAGGTATTCTTCGCAGCAAATGGCTTCCAATCAGGAACACGAGTTCGTTCTCGGCCACCGAGAGCAAGTATTTTCAAGGTGAGCTATTGCCCGCCTATGAGTTTTGTATTTCAATCCTCTTGAATGCCATAACTTATGTGTAGTGGTCTTGCATTAGTATTTTGTTGTCTCTCTTCTGCAAAAACACCCAAGTTTGACTAAGACCAGGTTCTTTCTTATACATGCAGGTCTTGGTGGCAAGCACCAGCCAATCAAGGCCAGAAGTTTGCTCTTTGCCACGCATGGCAAGTGTTTTCAAGGTGAGTGATTGACGCCTATCTGAGTTGTGCGCTTCATTCCTCACAGACACTCTATTTCCTGTCTGTATAGTGGCCTTGTTTCAGGCTTTTGTGTCTCTGTCCGGCCAAAGCATCTGTGTTAGACTAATCTTTAGGATATGTGCAGCAATTCTTGGCAGCAAGTGGCTGCCAATCAGGAACACGAGTTTGTTCTCGGCCACCAAAAGCAAGTATTTTCAAGGCGAGCTATTGCCCGCCTATATGAGTTTCAGCATTCATCAAGGAGCGCAAAATCAAAGCCCGGGGGTTGGCCATTGCAAAAATGTTGACTCGGAAGCGCATAGGGAGGAAGCTTTATAAAAGTATCCACCTGCTTCTACAAGACAAACCAAAACTAAGAATGTGGGTTCCATTTGAAAAAAAACAAAACAACATTGTCAGCCCGAATTAACTCGGGGGCGGCACTGAGCAAACAAGCCACGGTAGAGTATGCTTGGTTCAGGCGTTTGTAGGGGTGGTAGATAACTCGGTGTTTTCTAAAAAAAAATATTTTTTTTTCGTGGTGGTCGAATATTCAGGGATGGGCATTGAGTCGGGATGTTAAGGTAAAAATTTCATCCACATGCCGGGATTCATGTGCCTTGTCCCCCTAGCGAGGGGGACAAGGCCTTCAAAATTTTGGGTTCGCAAAAGGGGTGCGTCAGTATTGACGTCTCATTTTACATCGTTCGTCTCAATTTAAAACGCACTATAAATGACATGCCTGAGATTCGTTTGGGTGTACTTCCTCTTAGCAAGTATATGGTTCTGTCTCAAAAAGGTCTAATCTGATGTTGACCGCTCCTCAGGTCTCCACCGACGATTCATCAGGACGAGACCCGACCGGGACACTAGGGAGGCTACATATACGTCAGCTTCTTGCGGACAAGAAACGAAAATAGATAGATGGTGTGTGTTTCATTTGCTATGCCTTTTGGCGTGCACATTATGTTTGTTATGTTTCAAGATTCCTGCAGAGTTTGGTTTCAACTATTGTAAATTACCGAGCATGCGCCCAGGTCGCAGAAGCGCCTACCCTCTGATTCAGAACGATCCGCAAATAAGCAAAGGGCATACCAGACACCCATCCACCTGTTTTGAGCCATGCTCAAAATATTGAAAGAGCACATCAAGCGCCAGGTGCTGTGGCGCCTTTGCCACAATAGCGCCAGTCGCAGGGCTGACAGATCCGTGACTGGCGCAAGCCATGGCATGGCCTTTGGGAACCAGGGAATCGAGATTAAAGAAGTAGCGCAGAAATTGGAGGCGAGTGGTGAAGGTGAGCAGAGTTAACAGAAAACAAGGATGAAGGGAGTTCCGTCGCATGAGGCATCTGTGTCCCGTGCATGTAATTTTGAGTGTGCTGTAGGTGGCTACCCAAAAAAATAGTTACTTCGACGTAACTAATCGCAAACCTCTCTTGCAGTTTTCATGGCCCACAAGCCAGCCGGCGCCAGTTCATTCTCGTTCAAAGGTGAGGATTCTACATTTTCTAGATTGCTCTGAAGCAGCAATACTGAAGCCAGAGAAGCGGTACGGCATATTTAATTGACAGAACGACTGGGGACGCTTTCACTGAAGCTTGTTTTGCTGCAATACACGTGTGTATTGCAGCAAAACAAGCTTCAGTGAAAGCGTCCCTACTCGTTCTGAGCTCCGTCAATTAAAGGTGCCATACCTCTTGTCTGTCTGGCTTCAGTGTTGCTGTAGGCGACAAAACGTGTGCCCAGTTTTGTCGCAAGAGGCATAGTATGTCACGTTTATGTAATTTTGAATTTATCCGGCTTAGTGTGCTGTAGGTGGCTGGTCAAAGAAATTGATACTTGGACGCAGCTAATCGCAAATCTTTCTGGCAGTTTCTACAGCCTAAGAGCCAGCAGATCCCAGTTTGCTTTTCTTCGAAGGTGAGAATTCCAGATTCCCGAAGCAGGAATACTGAAGCCATACGACCGGTACAGCATTTTTAATTGACGGAGCTCAGAACGACTGGGAGCTCCTGCATTGAAGCTTATTTTTCTGTAATACAAGCGGGCGACATTGACACGTGCCCAGTTATGCCGCAAGAGGATATCTATGTCCCGCGCATGTAATTTTGAATCTTTCAGACTTAGTGTACTTTACGTGGCTACTCAAAGTAACTGCTACTTGGACGCAACTAACCGCAAATCTCTCTTCCAGTTTCCACGGCCTACAAGCAAGCAAGCACCAGTTCGTTTTTCCTCAAAGGTGAGCATTCCAGATACTCTAGTTAGGTGCAAAGCAGGAATAGTGAAGCCAGACGAGCGGATACATATATTTAATTGACCGAGCTCAGAATGACCTGTGGCAGTGGCATTGAAGCTTATTTTTCCACAATCAAACGCAGACATAATTTTGAATCTACCCACTTGGTGAAGGATTGCTACTTGTCGCGAACTAATCACAAATTTTTATTTTGCAGTTTCTATATAACTACAGCTGGCTGGTGCTGTTTTCATTAAGGTGAGGATTTCACATTCTGTTTTCAAACATCAAGTTTTTGAATGAGAGTCCTAAACAATTAACTTTCTTTTGCAGTAAATGCCAGATCCTCCAGTTCAGGAATATGTTAAATATATTTGGTATGGATAAGTCCAGTGTTTTTCTTCTTTATTCACAATTTCACAACAGCAACATTTTTTTAATTTATCACTCAGAAATACACACAAGAAGAGACTGCGTTGCAGAGAAATGTTGCGCTGAACGTGATATTCCAACTCGTATATAGTTTTATTGGTAGCCGATATAATATATTGGATTCCAATATCCATAATACGCTGAGTATATTGGAATCGTAAACCCTTATTGGATCCCCATACGACACATGGGGATCCAATAAGGGTTTATACGGTATTGGATTCCAATATTTTCAGCGTATTATGGATATTGGAATCCCATAACAAATCCTTATTGTAATACAATACAATAAATGTAATGTTTTCCAATACACTGTCTATATTGTATTGCAATACAATAAAAAGATATTGTTTACCAATATCCATAATACGCTGTTTATATTGGGGTTTTCCAATAGGGACGAAGAACAGAAACTGACAAGACAAAACGCGTCGCCTTTTTTTTTTTTTTTTTTGCGGGTTTGGAACATAAAACGACTGTTCCATAGGCAAATGCTAGCCTACGAACCTTTAGTAGTGACCAGCAAGAAAGCAGACGAGTTGGTGCGAGTCACAGTCGGTACCCCCTTTCCACTTTCGCAGAGCAAACGGTGAAGGGGGAGGCGACCTCCTCTCCAGCGTTCGCTCTGCTTAAGTGGAAAGGGCTGGGAGGAGCTTCCCCCGAACTCTTTAACCTCCATTTCCGCTTACCCTCGTCCCCAGCCACATAGTTCACACATCCGGTGTGAACGACTAAAAAAAAAAAAAAAAAAGAAAAGAGCAAGACATTACAACTTGAATCGAGTAAAATAATATAGAGGAGGCAAAACAAGAAGGATTGACAGTCACGATAAAATTGTGAACACCTTCTATTTGCTAGGCGAGGACAAAACGATTGTTTTCTCCCATACCGGAAGTTGCTCGATTCAAAATGGCGACGACTGCCAAATAAGATAAAAATGCAACGAAAACATACACACACATAAAAACTTGCGAAGTTAGAGAGAAAAGACACGCACAGGGGAAAAAAAAAAATTTTTTTTTTTTGCTTAGTTGTAGGGTGAGTATAGATTGTGTTGCCAGCAAAAGTCTGAGAAAACTGTCGTGAAGAATCTTAACAGACAGCAACGTCACCTGACACCATGTCACGTGACATCAGAGCCTCACATCATGTGACACCACGTCACGTGACATCACAGCCTCACATCATGTGACCCCATGTCACGTGACATCACAGCCTCACATCACGTGACACCATGTCACGTGACATCATAAATTCGCGTCAGGTAACACCAGGATGGCGTGCGACGTCACACGCGACGCAACGGACGTTCCTTAAGGCGCCGACCGCGTGACGGTGCAGGTTTTAGGAAGCGGCACAGCAGAGGTCTGAACTGAACGACGCCATTTTGTTCCAGCGGAATGTGCTTTGTCACTTGTATTAATTGTCGTTACTCGTGTAAAAAAAAAAAAAAAAAAAAGGAGTAGCGAGAATTCTCGAATTCACCGCACCATTCTGTGCCCTCCGGTCCTCTGTCAGAATGATCGAGCTTTTATCGTTATTACTATTACACTTAGCCGACGCTACGAGCAGATGGGACCAATCCAGGAGCGTTAAAAGAGCGAGTCACTCTGCCTTTTCAATGTTTATGTTCGGTCCAGAGATCGTAGAACACGTACAGGATGGAACGCTTTTGACGCTGTCCGATCGTCTGAACCTGAGCTTAAACGAAGCGTACATTTTTGTATTCGGCTGGCCCGACTCGTTTTCGATTCCCGGCCGCGACGCCACTTTTCTGAAGAGGCCCAAAAGACGAGCGACTCACGTCGTCCGGAGGGCGCCGATTCCGGGCCCTGCCACCCGCGGCTGACGCGGCGGCGACGGCCGCAGCTGCAGCAGCTGCCTGTCGCTCGGCGCAGAGCTGGAGCTCGGTGGCGTGGCAGCGGTCCTCGAGCTCTGCGTTGGACGCCCGGAGTCGCTCCACCTGCACGCCACGGGGAGACAGACGCCTCAGGGTTCGCCCACGCACGCACCCATCAACCTGTTACTCGATCACACACACACGGACATGCGAGAGAACATAACGTCTGCTTATTACAACTCGTCGTTCGGCTTTTAAGCGACGGTTGAAGCCGCACTTTGAAATGCATAGCGTGGATAGGGTCAGGCTGGTACGGCGCTTTCATGTCCGTGGTGCAGGTAGCCTCGATGGTGACGTCAGGAGGTCATGGTGTCATCTGATGACGTGCACCGTGACACAAGGTGACAGCATGACATTGCATATCTATAAAGGCTACGCATTTACACCGACTTTAAAATAAAGCATATATATATATTTTTTTTTTTAAGGAAGACGGATGGGTTTGGAAACGACGCGTCTAAATTAGCGAGCGCCGGCGTCGGAAAATAGCACGAGCGTAGTTAATGCGAGGCCACAGTTTCGGACTCGGTGCACATGTGCACCTTAGGCCACAAGTGTCGTCTCTGTTTCGCGCAAAATAAATTAACGAATGAAGTAAAAACGAACTCGAGAACCCATTACCGACAGAACGCCCCTCATTACACACGACAATGTACACAACAAACCGACAATCTGGAAATATGGGACAAGGATAAGCATAAATAAGATTTAAAACAACTAGCTTAAGTTTTTTTTAGCGTTTATGATCGAATTGTGGAGAGATAGATCCGTGAAAAAAAATGCGATTTGTTCTTATCTACCACAATTATGAAGTCAAAGAAAGAACCGTTACCCGATAAAGATATACGACGATACCCGATAAAGATATACGACGATGTGTAAAGTTGTCGGAGGAGTCTCGGGTATCGGACTTATCGGATAATAAATTAAAACTGCCTAATAACTGACACTTTGTCGACAGGTCCGAGAGACAACAAAGCTAACATGAAGTTAAAGGAGAAACGATTGTTCTACTTTCGTTCAACACTACATGGAATCACTCCGCAAGGTTAATAACTAACTAAACTTTCCTTACTTTTTCTTTCTAAACAGTGACAGTCGCCAAAAAGAAAGAAAAAAAAATCAAGAAATACGAGCATCGTTCATGCCCTCAACTGGGAGCCAGGCGGAACTGCCCATCTTCATTATTTCATACAACCTCTATGGCCCCATAGCTTTCCCTATTACAAAAAACATACCTCCTCCTTTCTCTAAATTACAGATCGCATGGCCTAAACTGGAAACCAAAAGAGTAGCTTTTGCCGTGACCCGAATGTACAATGACCTGTTGCCCTGAATCAACACTGACGAGACAAAACCCCTTTTGACAACGGTTCGAAATTTGAAAGATAATTATCGTGGCATTTTCCCAGGACCATTGACCTTGTGCTGCTCAAATTGGAAAAAAAAAAAATAATAATAATAAATAAATTAATAAGCCTTTTTAAATTTTTTTTGCGGTTAATTTGGGGGGAGGGGGGTGGCATTGGCACGTAACAATTCGTGGTTTATCGGATAAATCCGAATTGACCAAAATTTTACCGGCGGGTGTTTTTCGAAGTTTTTCGGATTTATCCGAAAACACGGAACCCTAATCACACCCACGCGCTGGGGTTGGCAAAGTAGAAAACGCGTGCTGAGCTCCAGGCATTGTTGGAGTTATTCTAAGCTATTCTCATCAACTCAGTGGCTGGACACGAGCCACTACCCGAGTGTCCGCCGGGGCATTGATTGTTACGAGCCGAAGTCGGGCGGTCTGTGCGATTTAGCCCTCTCAGGGCGGCGCCATCTTGTTCGACCGCAGCGCCCTCTCCACACATCCGGGACGTTCGGCTGGGTAAAACGAGAGTTGTCGTTTTCCATCTTTGGGCTGTACCGGCGGGATACACCAAACATCGAACTCTCGCTCGTGGCTGCCGTTGTGAATTGGTTCGCGTTGTTAGAATATTTATGGCTACTCCGAAATCAGCCGATAGCGCTCTGTTGTTTTATTTCAGTACACGACCAACTAGCAGCGAAGTCAGCCGGCAGTACTACCCTCAACCACTGCGTCTGTTGCGTCAGGAGAACACGTTTTTATTTATTATTCCAGACTTCCACTCATTGTCGCTAGAGGCCTCCACCTGTACAAACTTTGTATAAAAAAAAGAGTTACAGGATTTACTTTTCGCCGGAGAGACCGGCCACACTGACATACCTTTCCCACCTCCCCCCTCCCCCTTTTTTTTTTATTTGCACGCAGGTAACAGCACGATTGAACCCGGTTAGTCTTTCTACCAAGCACAGCGTTACACTATAACTCGCATATGAAAATCAGCACATCTGCGTTTGAAATTTCCAAGATGACGCGATTTTAAACAAAGTTCGAACGTCAGCCGGATGTTAGGTACAGCCCACTCGACGGAGCAGACGACGCGCTGGGTGAGAGGGGGAGGGCATTTTTTCGCTCTCCGTTCTCACTATAGTCAGTTACAGGTTAAGAAGGTAGCGGCAAATGCCCCTCAAAGGGAATCAGATATCCCTCCGCCACCTCCGCATCCAATAGCGTCCCACCGTTTCCTTGACGTCGCGGCCAACGCGCGAGGAGGGTCTTGCCTTTCTGTAGATATTTGCTTTATTTTTCGACTTTGACTTAGCATTGTGGAAGCCACGAGAGGGAGATTAGAGTTCTCCCCCACCGACGGAAACAAATACTACTTTCGGGGATTAGCTTGCCCCCCGATGGATACAAAGGCTGCTTTCAGGGGCTCGGTTCCCTCTCCGATGAATACAAAGGTCGCTTTCTTAAAAAGTGGGATCGGAGACAAGTGGGAATCCATTGAAGCGGAACAAGGAGCGTTTCCAGTGAACTCTTCTTTCGACTGCGGAGAGATTTGAAACTGGCGCATCACACTTGTGGGAGGAGCTTCTCCTACCTTCTTGACTTGTAACCGACTATAGTGGAACGAGAGGTTGCCAGGTATACGTTCTAGCGAAAACCGCCAAACGCCAGACGGTGTAGCCCAAAAGTAGCCAAACGCAAGATATTTACATAGCCTAAAAGTAACCATATTTAAGATATATACTGAGACCAAAAAATCGTGTGCTCGGATGTACTAGCTCAATGCGAAGGCACTGCGTCTGCCTATTTATAGGGTTTAGAAGCAGCTTGCAAGATCTACGATATCTTGAAATGTATTGAAAACGTTTTATTTCAAACACAAAAAGAAAAGTGTAAAAAAAATTTCACACGCATTTTTACGGTCACATGGTTATGAAACAATCGTTTGTGCTAGGCTGACTCGCTTCATACAATTTCCGTGTTAAAACGGGCAAAACATTCTTTAGTATAGGGTTGATGTCCTTGTAGCACTTGTTCTTCCCAAGGAAAGCATACTTTACATAGACATAGAGGACGTTTTTTTTAAGAGTAAAGGGGTGTCCAAACGGGACACTACAAAGCGCACGTCTCCGACAAATCGTGAAAATTGATGCGGGCGCGTCCGCTTCAATTTTTACGATTTGTCGGAGTCGTGCGCTTTGTAGTGTCCTGTTTGGACACCCCTTTAGAAGGGACATCCGATTCCTTAGGCCTGACTTGGTGAGGTACACGTGACTAAATACTCTCTCCACGGCGGCATTCGACATGGGCAAAATCAGGAGCGCGATGGCAAGCTCGGATAGCAACGGAAACATGGCTACTCCTGCGCTTTGAACTTGGCCTTGTTCGGATTATTCATTGTTCTAAATCTGTCGTTTTTTGTTATGGCTCACTGTGCTTTAAGAAACCTCCATATTTCGCGGAAAAGCCTCCTTTTTTTTATATCCGGTACAGCACGCGTTATCGGACGACATCAGATTCTGCTGTATGTCATGAGTTGCCTTTAGAGTGATTTTCCTGTAAGAGCATGGTGGGAAAGTTGAGGAAAAGAAGAGACCGGCAGAGGTCTCAAACTCATTTGAGTGTGGGGGCCAGATAGCACACACCGAAAAGGGCGAGGGCCAGCGTCAAACGGGGGGGGGGGGGGGGGGGTAAAAAGATTTTAAAGGGAACACACCTTGTTCTCTATACTTTTTGGAAACTCACAGTTGTTTGCCAGTGACATCTTTAAATTCGATTTGTTTACATGACTACTTTGGGCCCTGACCTGCACATGTGATAACATGAATTAAGATGATATTGCACCGCCAACGTGCTGGCATTATTAATAGAACAAGGGAACAAGAACACTGTCGTTCCCGTTGCTCAATTCACTACGGAATTTGCCAAGCTCGACATGTCTCTAAAACACATTCGGTTAGTTTGGCAGTTCTTGCTTTCCTGGCGATTTTTATTCCAACGCTCTGAACAAATACTTGTCTTTCAATGGGAATATTTTTTTGAAGGCTAGAATCCGGAGCTCGCAGCTTTATCTTTGGCAGTTGCTCCTGCTGATCGTAAGTTCGCGCGGCCGAGATGCATCCTTCAACGAATAGCTCCCGCTTGCAGCCTAGGAGCGGAACTGTTATGCATAAATAAAAGACGGGAAGCAATAAATAAAGTGAAAAAAGTACAAATGAACAGAGGTAAGTATAAGCTATGTAAAAAAAAAAACTATGTGAAAAAAAAAAAAAAAAAAACAGTGAGTACGCAGGCGAGCTGGTGGAAGTTGATCATGATGTAGAATACCCGAGACTTTGGTAAACGCTGGGAAACTCGGTCGAAGAAAAAAGACAGGGGAAAGGAACGTCTCAAACTCAGCTACTGCGTTTATTTCCTCAAAGCCTTATAGACCTTTTCCGCAAGGGCGTTGCCATCTTGAATTGTCGTCACTTCCAGTATGGGCGCAAACATTGTTTTGCCGTCGCCACGCCAATAGAAGACATTTAGGATAAAAGCGTAAGTGTCACACATTCTCATTTGGCCTCCCCTCTATTTTTTTTACTAGTTACAGGTTGAAACGTTTCAATAACTTTTCGTGACTGGGGACGAGAGTAAACGGAAAAGGTCCATATATCCACAACCTAATCACCGATCACCGACGTCACAAAGTCCACCCTTGTTA